CTGTTGAAGAAGGAGATTCTAACTTCTTAATAATAGTTCACTTTGGAGTACTGCAAAGTTGTCTTCAACTTTTGAGTAGATGCCTAGATTGTGGCGACAAGGTCACTGTCAGTCTTGACCAAATGAAAAAATTAGGACTTTCGCATAACATTAAACTAAAATGTATATCTTGTGATTGGAGTTGTTATTTTTATTTGTCTCCTCAGATAGATAAATACATTCAAAAAGTTAATGTACGTATTGTAATGAGTTTTTGCGAAATTGGTTGTGGACATGAAGCTTTAAAGACATTTGCTGGTTGTATGAATATGCCACCTTCAATGACTTTTAATTCATATAAAAACATTAATAATCTTTTACATAATGTTTATGGCTCTGCATCATCTAAATGTATGAAAAAAGCTGCAGGCGAGATTAGAACATCTGCAAATACTGGTGCTTCAATACATCAACTTCCAGTTGATTGTGATATCAGCTTAGATACAACATGGCAGAAGCGAGGATATTCTTCTTTAAATGGTGTTGTTTCAGTTATCTCCAAAGACAATAAAAAAGTTTTAGATGTTCATGTTATATCTAAGTTCTGTAAGAGTTGTGCTGTCTGGACGAAAAAGAAAAATAGTCTTGAATATGAACATTGGAAAGCAAATCACCGTTGTGATATTAACCACTCGAAATCGTCCGGAGCAATGGAATCCGCGGGAGCTATAGAAATATTTCACTCATCAGTTGAAAAATATGGTTCAAGATACGCACACTACATAGGTGATGGAGATACTGCCTCATTTAATGATGTAGTACAGTCTAAACCATATGGTGATAACTTGATTCCCATTAAATGGGAATGTATTGGCCACATTCAAAAGTGTCTTGGGACATGCCTGCAAAACAAAAGAAAAGAGTTAAAGGTAATTTGCTCTCTGATGGAAAAAAACTAATGGTAGGGGTAGGTTAACAGATTTAGCAATTAACACTTTGCAAAACTTTTATGGGATGGCCATAAGACAGAATAAAGAACTACTTATAATGAGGAGTCCAGTTGGTGCAATTTTATATCATCGTTCTGACATAAATTTCGAAAGTCGCCATTTGTTTTACCCTCGAACAACAAAGAGCTGGTGTAAATGGCAAAAAGATAAACTTGAAGGTACAATTACCTACAAAGCGCATTTAAATTTGCCTCTGGCTATAAAATAAATTGAAGGCATCTTTAAAGATCTTGGCTCTTAAGATCTTCTGAAAAATTGCTTACATGGGTTTACCCAAAAAACATGGGTTTACCCAAAACCCTAATGAAGCTTTAAACCAGTTAATTAGGAATAAGGCCCCAAAGTCTCGTTTTGTGTCAAGAACTGTTTTAGAGATTAGAGTATATTTTGCCATCATAAACTACAATGAAGGTGTTATAGGACTTAATCATGTCTTTAAACTATGAAATTTGACTCCTAGGAAATACTTTTTTTTCTATGCAACAAAAAAGGACAGTACTCGTATCAAGCAAGTTAATAGTAAAATGAGCGAAAAAAAGAAAAAACAGGAAAGTTATGAGTGGATTAAAAAAAGGATTCTTTGACAAAGAAAAAGAGACAGGTGAAGCTTATAGTTCTGGGGCACATTAGCTTTATGTTTGTATACTATTTATTTCATTTTTAGTTTTGTTTTTCATTTTTCTCAGAAATAAGTTTTTGTTAAGATCACTTAAATTCAAACAACAGTTTTTAGTACTTCTGTTTAACCGATTGACTTGAAATTTTCACAGACTTTTCTTTAATATTTGAACTAGGTTCTGAACTAAAAACAACTATTTTGATTTTTTAAAATGACCTTATTTTTCAATGCTCAAAAATAATTGTCAGCCATTATGGATTGGTACATTTTTGAATTTTGATTTTAGTTCAGAACCTAGTTCCGTCCTAGTTCTAGTCTTTCTTTACTACTTTACCTTTATGCTGTTAAAATTTGGTTCAAATATTATTTATAGATTCTGAGAAACTAATGTTTAAATTTTGAAACTTTTTTAATAATTTTTGCTGACAGCTTTTTTTTTCAGCACTTTAAAAAAATTATTGTCAAATTTTTTTTTTCATTAAATATATCAACAGTTAACTTAGTACAAAGACATTTTTTTTAATTTTTAAAGAATTTAGAAAAAAAGGGGTAGGGCCACCTTAACTATACGCGAATAAAATTTGAAGAAAACTGCAGAAGTTTTTATTCACGTAAAACTGACCAACTACTGAGTATAAGAAATTGCTTTTTTTTATTCACCCGGCCTATAGTCTAGTTATTCGAGTACAATTTTTTTAGTACGATTATTTTTATCAAGTATTTTGAAAATTTATTCTTAAGATATTAGGTTAACTAAATTCAGGATTGGTTTTAACTTGTTATTTTCTTCAGCATCTTAATAAAATAAATGTTCTTTTCATTTTGAACATTTTTAAAAATACCACATTTATCAACACTTATGTGGTTTCTCATTCGAGCTACCGAATCTTGCATTTGCACGCCACAGTCTTTGCATTCAGTTCTATTATTCCTTTCCTTGAACTATCTTATATCTTTTTTTTGACCAGCACTAGACAATAGTTTAATTTTAAATTATATTATAATTTGTAATTGTAATATAAAATTAAATTTAAACTAAAAATTAACAAGTATTTGAAAATGAGTGGTTTTATTAAATATCTTGAAAAAGGTAAACTCTGAATATATAAGATAAAGTAAAGCAAATAATAAAATTTTACAATATTAAATAAATCAATTCAAAAATTATTCATCCTATTTAAAATATGATTTAATTGGAACTAATTTAACACAATCCTGGTTTAACCATGAGCTAAAGTTTACAGTCACATCATCTTATCGTTGCTACGGAAGAAAGCATTTTAAAAGGAAAAGTCACTAAAGTAATTAATTATAAAAACTCGTAAGATATCGAATCTTTTCCTGCCTTTATTGATATTGCACTAGAAAAAGTTTGATTTTACTTTTTAATGGGAAATAAAAGTAATTTCTGAAGTGTAACTGAAATAATATTTCTTGAAAATTATAATGGGAAGATCATTTTTTGTCACAGATAATTTCGAAGTTGTTGCTATAGTAAAGGTATAGTATAGATTGTAAAGGAATTGTAAAATATTTGAGGTTTAAAAAAGGGACGACTGAATAAGCGCGAATTTCATAAGTGCGAACTAGCATAAGTGCGAATTGCGTTAGTGCAAACTGGCATAAATGCGAAACAGTTACAAAAACTGGGACAAGTGTGAACTGGCATAAGTGCGGCATAAGATTTTGCAAGCAATATGATAAGCGCAAATTGGCATAAGTGCAAACTGGCATAAGTGCAAAGCAGTAACAAAAACTGGCATAAGTGCAAACTGGCATAAGTGCAAATTGGCATATGTACGCCAAATAAATTTACAAACATTGGCGTAAGTGCAAATCGGCAGAATTATCAATTGGCGTAAGTGCGAAGCAGTTACAAAAACTGGCATAAGTGCGAACTAGCATAAGTGCGAATTGGTACGAGTGCGCCGAATAAATTTTCAAACATTGTTATTAGTGCGAAATACCAATTGTACTTATGCCAATATTTGCAATTTTATTCGGCGCACTCGTACCAATTCGCACTTATGCTAGTTCGCACTTATGCCGGTTCGCACCTGTACCAGTTTTTGTAACTGCTTTGCACTTATGCCAATGTTTGCAAAAATTTTTGGGGCACTTATGCCAGTTTTTGCAAAGCTTCGCACTTATGCCAGTTCGCACATATGTATGCCAGTTCGCACTTATTTAGCCTCCCGTTAAAAAGGTGTAGTTTTTTAAAAGCTTTTTATGAAGGAACTGCGAAATCAGACATAAGTTTTTTAACAACCGTGTCATCGAGGCAACATTAGTTGATAAATTTAAACAACTACTGGACAGTTTTCAGTCATGGTAGTTAATACCAGGACTGTGGAGTCGGAGTTGCGACAATTTTAGTGGAGTCGGAGTCACTAAACAAAATCGCGACTCCGACTCCCATAGTAAAACTTCTCGGTATTGCACGTGCATGTATAAATTTGTCAAAAAAAATATTTTTAACTTATCGCGTAATATTTTTTAAAGAATTCAAAGAATTTTTCAAAAATTTTGCTTTGGAGTTGGAGTTGTACTCAAAAAATTTCAACAACTGGAGTCGGAGTCGTTACTTTTTTTTTACGATTCCACACCCCTGGTTACTACAGGTCATCATTTACAAATACCACACAAAAGTGGACGATATATGAATCGGGTATAGACGCTTATACTAAGCTGATGAGTTTAACAAGGCTGTGGCTTTGTGTAACTTAATTAACTAACTAACTTATTAGATTATTATGATAATTTTTAGATTGAGAACCTTATAAATCGTGTACAAAAAATATAATTACATTTTGTTATTAAAAAACTTCCTATTACTTCTTTCTTTAAAGTGGAAATTCTCCTAGAATTTCCACTTTAAAGAAAGAAGCGATACGTGGTCTTAGAATAGAATATAAAGTAATAGTGAACTATAATAGTTTTTCATTTGATCCTTAGGGGAATTTTATTCTCACTATTCTTACAAAAAGTTTAATGGTGACTGATAACTTTTTGGGTCATCAATCACTATTAATCGATTTTGATGTTAAATATTTTAATGTATGTAATTTTAATTGCGAAAACGTTAAAATTTCCCTCTAAATTTTTACCAAAACTAAAAGCAAAATAAACTTCACTAATAAAAGAAAATCTCTACACAGCATATTAAAGTCAATACATTAACTATCAGATAAACTGAATTTTTTTTTTTTAATTTCTTTTTTCTATTTTAATTTTTTTCTTCATATTGACAATAAATTTTAATTCAAAAATTTTTTTATGAAATACTTGCTATATTTAAAATGTAAATTATAATTATTTTTATGTATCATGTTTAAATTTTTATCTCACGCATTTTTAATTAGTTTGATTGAAAATAGAATATAGACAAAATATTTCAATGGACAAAAACAATTTCAAATTTTTGACAAAACAATTTCAAATTTTTCTCTATGTGCTTATTAGCAGCGATTCAACTTTTTCTGTCAATGTCTCACCAGCAATAGATAACCAACAAACTTGTTCGTATGAAACACATACTTTATCAAAACTTTCATCTAATAAAAAGTTATCATCCTTGCATGTAGAAGACACCTCAACTAAAACTTCATTAATTTCTTTAACAACAAATTTTAAATAACGATTTAATGATGGCAAATAAGCTGTGACGCCATATCTAACTTGTGATTTATTTTTATCAGGAGATTGATACTTGATAGACTTCCACCTATGTTTTTGACACAATAATGAGATATGATCCGCTATTGAATTGCAAATGTCCAAGTCAATAACATAATCAAGTGACTCAATATCGAAAGGTAGTCTAACAACGGTAAAATCTAGAAAGTTTATTTTTATTTCATTTTGTGCCACAGATATCAACATTCTTGTTTGTGCTGTTTGATAGAAATATGATATACTAGCTAATGTAGAAAAATTACTGGTCACACTCCAGTGAACAACTAGCTTAGGCTCAATTAAACCAATATTTTTTTTTATCAAATATTTTTTAAGCCTATTTATCCATACATGATGCTTTGCAGCATCTACAAATTCATTAAGAATACTATTTCTACTTAAATTTGCATTTTGTTTACTGAATAATAGTGTATTAAAAATAGAACTATTTGACTGTTTTTGGTTATTATCATGTGAAATCATATTTAACATGTAATTTTTAAATTGTAACTGATAAAGTTCTAATCTAAGATTATCAGCAGGTGTACTTAAATAACTGGTAATTTTTTTCGAAGTTGTTTCACAATCTGAATTGTAACGATTTAAACTAACAATAACAACAGCATCTTCAATTAAAAACTTTATTGTTTCATTCAGCACTTCCACTCCAGGGAAAGCTACTTTAAATGCTTCACTTGCCAAATTGAAAAAAATCTCTTTGTTGAAAAGGTATTCTTGACCTTTCATCAAATGTTGTTTCCATATAGGGGTTGTATTTTTCAAAATTTCTAATAAGAATGTTGAGCTAGTTTCAGAAAAAATATTATATTTACTATCAATAACTTTTATATTTATATATGAATCTTGAAGAATATCGGAACTAACATTTGCACTAAACATTTTGTCGTACTCACAATTTTCTTGACTTGCCATCTTAATTTCAACAAAACCAGGGTGCCAGAACTTTGAACCAGATGTTTTCAGACTTATGTCACTGATTATTTGAGTTCCAATTTTTTTAACACGCCAGTGTTGTCGCAATTTCATTAGTTGAGAGTAATATTCAGTTTCTTCTATATTTTTTACATCACTTTGATTTTTTTGAAAATACTCTTTATGTAGCATGGCAGCCCCATTAGATATTAAAGCTCCAGCTCTTGCAAGAAGTTTCCTTTTATCTAACATTTGGACAGTTGGCTTAGGGACTTCTGGATTTTGAGAAACACGATCAAGAACTAAATACTTCTTTAAATTAATACATTGGAGAACATCAAACAACACACAAACTTCAGAAAGAGAAATTCGTAACTTAGAATGTATTTTTTCCCAAGGTGACTTTTGTTTAACATCATTTTTATCGCCATCTATGGATTTATCAGAATCTTCAACATCAATAAATTGTCCTTCGTAAAAATCTATTCTTTCTGCATTATGTGTTAGCTCCTCTGACAAAGTTAAAGGCTTGACATACTTTTCTTCTCCAAATCTATTAATTTCTTCTACTTCTTGCTCAAGAAGTCTTTCCACGCTAATCTTTAAAAACGACATAATAAAACTGAATTTAAAGCTAAAGTTATATTCATTAGAATTAAATTTACAAGCAAAGCAATTAGTTTTTTTCCACTTCACTCGAATTACAGTTTGTTACAAAATTACAGTTGTTACACGAAGGTTAGTTTGCGAGGCTATATCTACACGACATATAGTACTCTAATTGTCGCGTAGATTTAGACACGGCGATACTATAGGCAGTTAACTGCCAATTTTAGCAACGTTGTTGTACTGTGATGAAAATTTTTTTAATATTTAGAAAACAGGTGCAGATATTAGATTCAATAATAAATGATAAATCAAGCAACAGTTAGGGTTAGAGTTCTTGATGGTGACAGGTTAATAAGTATTTTCAATTGTGAAATTTTTGCTTTAAAGTTGTCTGGAAAGAAACAACTTACTTGTCATGCAGTTACTTTACCACACATGCAATAGCATTTTTGAATTAAGTAGATCTTTATTGAATACCACATATCAATATGTCATTCTTAGCTGACTCTTTAAAGAATAAGTTTAGCCAATTGCACAAATGTTCAAAAGGGACATATTTTAAAATAGCACTTCAGGTCATTGCAAAGTGGAATATATTTCAAAATAAAATATTCTTATTTCTCGATAAATTTTTTGTCAATGTGAGACTTGAATCAGGCAATCAGAGCCAACAACACCAAGGGGGCCAGAGTGCACGTGCCCTCTTCCTCTCTCAAACTTTTTTTCTTATGAAGCTTTTTTTGTTTAAAAAAAATATTATTATAATTTTGGATAAAGGTCAGGGAAACAATATCAGTTTTTTCTATGTCTAATAACATCAATCCAACAACATCTGTAAATATCATGAGGTATAATAACATCCGTCCAAAAACATCTGAAACTTCATTGGTGTTTAATAACATCTGTGCAAAAGTTAAATGAATATTACAGATATATTTACATCTATTAAATTATCGAAATATTTGTACAGCTACATCTAAAATATTTGTACAGCTACATCTGTGGATTCTACAGATGTAGTTACATCTTTTAAATTATCAAGATATAATAACATTTCTGCAACTGTATATTTTTAAGATAAAGCTATTTTTGAGATGAACTAACTAATAATTCATTATTTTAACCAGATGCAGTTTCATATAGGATTTTTTTCAGATGTAACTACATCCGGAAAAAAAAAATTAACTAATAATGCATTATTTTAACCAGATATTGTTACATATAGAAATTTTTTCAGATGTAACTACATCTGGAGAAAACTCTTCCAGATGTTATTAGGCTCGGAGAAAAATTACCTGATGTAGTTACATCTCCCTAAAGATGCTGTTGGGGATCGTTGAAATTTCAGGTGATATTGGACAGATGTTGTTAGAGTAAAGGAAAAATACTGATGATCTTCGACAAAAGTGTACAGATGATCTTTGACTACTCTACAGATGTTGTTAAACAGATGTAGTAATATAGAGGACTTTTTTTAGAAATTGACGATTGTGCCACTTTTAAAGTTTTACGAGTAATATATTGTGTACTTTTCAAACAACAAGAGCGAATTGCTTGCTATATAAGAAACTAGGAAGCAGTTTTCTTTTTTTTGATATACTTGAATTTTTTAGCAACATCTACTATTCGTCTGATAAGAATATTGTTGGCTAGAAAAATGTGAAAAGTTCCTTTTGCAGTGGATTTGTCTTCAATTTTGCAAAAATTTTCTCGGTTTAATATAGTTTCTTTTAAACGAAGAATTGCTTTAATTTCTACATGAATGGATTGCTTTGAAGTTTTCTTTTTATGATATTCTTTACATTCTTGAAATATAAATACTTTTCTTATCAAAGCTTGTCTGCATTTAAATTTTTTCGCAAGATATTTTACGACTGACACAGATTTGCCTTCATAGAGCCAATGATATATTTTATTTATATTTATCATTATGTTTATATCGTTGTTTATATCGCCGCAAAATAAATCCAACTGAGGATTAATAAACACCGGTCAATTCTAAATATCAATTGTGACAATGAGTGATTTTGAAGACAAGTTTCAAACTTTTTTAACTGAATATTTTTTACCCATTTTAATACAATAACAATGATAACCAATATTTATTACCTTTAGAATCAAATAACAACACATTAGCTTCAAAAAAAGGTGCAAAATAGTTAATAAAATTCGTTAAGTAGGTTTTGAGTAATTAACGATTAAAAGAATGTTGAATATTGTCGTATTCAACCGATAGGTAGCAGTGACCAATATTTTTCTAGAGATTGTTCTGCTAATAAATTTTTTTCAGTCTGCTCGTTACTACGTATATAAGGTGTTTTTAAAATAATAATATTATAAAATCCTTAACTTCAAAAGCTCTTATTTATAAAAATTTATAAGATTTATTCAGTAAATAAATAATTGAAGATAGCTTATCTATAAAAAGTAAAGTAATTACAATTTGAATTTATATCAGATATTTATACAAGGTATGCTTGCTACTGTAAATCATCTAAAATCGATTTTTTTTTCCAATTGTTATTGTTTGCATAGAACGAAATAAATTGAATTGCCAAAAAGGAAGTTTGACGTTGTTTTTCGAAACGCGTTATGTGCAAATTTATGAAAATGCAGATGAAAACCCTGACTTGGAGATAAGTGATATTGAAAACTAAAATGAAAAAATGTATATATAATTTCAGAAGGTATTTTAGTTAAATATATATTATTTAAATAACTTCTTTAGCGATAAGTTGTAACGAAGGTTATATAACCATTATAAAATTTTATGTTAATGCGTATTAACTATTATTTTTGTTTAATAAATATTACATTATTATTTTTATTTAATAGTTATATTACTTTTAATTATATTTTTATCGATGATATATTGGCTATATAGCCGATATATCATCAATGAAAAATAACTTCCTACACTACACTACAATATATCATGATATAGCTATATCATTAACTCATAAAGCCGTAGACTCATACATTAATCGACTAAAATTTAAGTCAATTTATAAAATGTCAATACCAATAAAGATTAAGTCAATTTAAAAAGTCAGTTTTAATTTATGTTAAACTCGAATTGCCGCTGTTGAGTATTAGGAGTGTGGAGTGAATACAACTTCTTTAAAGTCAAAACTAAAAAATCATGTTCTCAATGCAGATAATTACTTAGAAATGTTTCAGTTCTAATGATAAATTAATATTTACGCTCACATTCAAACAATCAGTAATCAATTAAAAATGAAAATGTATTTTTTTTAATTAAAAAATAAAGATAATATTATTAAGATAAACCACAACACTAACACCATACATAGTATAATAAAAAGAAAAAAAAAGTCTACCTCAATAACATTTAAAATATTTGTATTATGAGAATCATAATGTTTATATGTGTACTTTACGTAATACCTCAAGGTTCTCGATGATAAGACTAAACTCAGTCTTCTACGAGTTCCCTACAACAGTCAAAACCTTTATCAAGTCATAGCATATTTAATTATTGCTTCCTATGTTTATCTTAACGGTAAGGCTTGTGGAGCTGTTTTTTTTTACGGCTCAGCTCCGGCTCCGGCTCCTAAGAAATATCCGGCTCCGGCTCGGCTCTGGCTCGGCTCCGGCTTCCGAACTTTACGCAAATTTTTGGAAATTTTTTTGATCACATTTGCCGACCTATAACTATACTTACTACAGCAATTAATTTTTAACCTACTCTCATGATAACACGGTTATTGTATTATTATCACTACTCTACTCAACTACCGGATATTACCTTTGAAAAGAAAAATGTTTTGGGTAAACAAACACTTTTTTCTATATGTTATTTACCCAAAACTAGATTTTTTAGTCCGAATTTTAATTCTAATTCTACCCAAGGAGCACGTACCTAAAAAAGACGTCTTTTGAAAGTCCCAAAGACGTCCAAAACGTTCAAAAGGCATCCAAAACTTTCTAAAGACGTTTAAAAGACCTCTTTTGCGTGTCCCGTGCCCACTGGGTTTAAACATGCAATCGTTAAATTCAAAACAATAAAAAAAAAAATAAAAAAAAATAAGAAATAGTTCAACTAATGCAAAAACTTCAATATTTATTTTAATCTAAGGGACTTGAAGATTTTAAAAGTGCTTTTTATTTTAATATTTTTCTTTATTTTGAATAGCGAACATTTACGCTAATTGACGACATCAACTTCTGCATAGTGTTTTTTACAATTTTTTCCCCTGCTTATGTTAACTCTCTAATCAAATCTTTAGCTGTACTTATTGTTTTGACACTCTTACACAAATATCCTTTCCCGATTCTCCAAAATGTCTCAATAAGCGGAACTGTGTGCAGATTAATAGATTCAAGCTTTTTTGTATGAACTTGAAGTCTCTCAAATTGTACCAATTTTCTTAAAATAATGACAAGAAGCAAGATTAGGCCAGAACTAACAGGGGACATAGTGATTTCAATAAAATTGCAAAAGTCTAGCTTGCATGTATTCTTTGATGTAAAAATCCGAGTTTAAAGTTGAAGGTGTGACAAAAGCTCAAGATCTCAAACCACAGCTGCATATTGCTTGCCAAAATTTAATCTTTAAAAAACTCTGAAACTTTATACCTTTTGGCTTGTTCTTTGTTCGATAAGCCGGGTTTTTTATTGATGATCGTTGGATACTAATTGCTGCTTTCTTATCCTTAAAGCCATACTTTCTTCAAGATCCTTTTGCTCGTTCGATAGATAGAGAGCTCATTTATTGTTTTATGCCCATACAAACAATAGTTTTGCTAGATTCAGATGCTTTAGCAATTGAAAGTAACGATGAAAAGAATTAGGTAGATTGTTGTGCAGACTTTTTTTCGCTGTTTCAATCACAATTTAATTAATAGAAACATTTTGACTCGTTTGTTGACGTTTTTAATTAATACTACAATTACTTAAAGTAATTACGAAAAAAAATACATTAAAAATGTGTTAGTGACAAGTTTTAAAACGAAAATCATCATTTCAAGTTTAACGATTGCATACTTTAATAAAGTTTTAAAGATATGAGTAACCTTTGATCATTAAATGGCGCATCGAATATTTTACAGCATAGTATTAGTATAAAAATATAATTTCATGGATATAATATAATATAAAAATATAATATAAAGCTGTAATTTTTCCATATATAATTTTATTTTTTTTATATCTAAAGCATATTAAGAAATACTATTAAAGAATAGTGTTTTGTTGAGTACAAAATCGTTAAAATAGTCACTTTTATTACGTTTTAACGAGACCAAAACTGTTAGAAAAATTAGAAATTCAATATTAAACAATAAATGAATAAAATTTGTCGAGAGTAAAAAATAAAAAATATATATTCTATTTCTTTAAAAAAAAAACGCGAGAGCCGAGAGCCGCTTGATTTTTGCGGCTCCGGCTCCGGCCCCACCAAAAACAGCGGCTCCCCGGCTCCGGCTTGGCTCCACAAGCCACGGTATTTTGTAAAATATTTTTGTTTACGGTATTTTGTAAAATATTAATTTTTTTGTATTGGAAGTATATTTTGTTTATGTTATCGCAGTGTAAAAAAATTTTGTAATTAATATGTAGTTGTGAAAATTTAAAGAGAAAAAAAAAAAAAAAAAGGGTTTTAGGCACTTTTTAACAAATCGGCTAGTCCTCCCCCACCCCCAACCCTTTCCTCATCGCGTGACGTAATTTGTAGACGAAAATATTACGTGTGACCACGCACTTAAAAACAAATATGCTGGCAAAACATTTTTTAATGTAATCAATGACAATGCAAATTGGAAAATCATTGTATGTTTAAAAAAATTATTTTATGTTTTAAGATTTTTGAAATGAGTATGGTCAAGAAAACAACGAGTACAAATCATAAGGAAAATCAGAAAAAAGAAGAACTAGATTTTGTTTTTGAAAAGTTAATGGTTAGCCCAATACAAAATTCTAAACGTATTCAAAATGAAATAAGGTATCTATTAACCCAATAATTAACAGTCTATATTATTTTTAATCCATTATATTAAAACTGATCCTTCATTATATACATACATTTATATATATATATATATATATATATATATATATATATATATATATATATATATATATATATATATATATATATATATATATATATATATATATATATATATATATATATATATATATATATATATATGTATATATATGTATATGTATATATATATATATATATATATATATATATATAAATATATATATAAATATATATATATATATATATTAGGTACGCGCACTGAAATTTTTAAATTAATCATATAGTACAATGTCATATATCATTAGAAAGGCCTTTAATACAGTATTTTAAAGGTGAAAAAATTATTAAAAACGAACAATTCTAAAAAAAGTTATAACGTTTTTAGTACCAAATTTAAGATATATGGAATTGTTGAAGAAACTGTGGTCAAAATAATTATTTTTTTCACTTAAATTATTATAACTTTGTCAATTTTTATCCAAATACCTATATCTTGGTATCAAAAGATAGGTGCACTAATGGGCTACAAGTTTATATAGGTGCCTGGACGTAGGGTGTATCTTGGGAGCCAGAGGGGGTAATGAAACACCATCGAACCCTTAAGAAAATACAAGTTTTTGTCAAAAATAAGCACTTTTTTAATGTAATTGTTAGATTTTATACATAAAATATTGCCATAACTTGATTCCAGAACACTGCCAAACAAAATAAGGTGATCTTAGAGTTGGCCGTAGATGTGGTTATGATGTTATAACACCCTAATACAATAATCATACATTCTAATAAATAATTTAATCTTTATTACAATAATTAAATATTTTGTTAAAAAGTAAAAATATATTTTTTTACTATACAACATACATTAGTGATGTGCACACTAACTTTAAGGAAGGGCGTATGTCGCACCGCAAAAAACATAGTAATTAATTTATGTCTTGGCTTTTAGTAAATGATTTAAATTAAGTTCCAATGCAACTAAATAAATCATTTTTAACAATAGACACAACGTGAAGGTAAGCCAGAGCCGTCTATCTTTTTTTTTTGCAAGCCACAAAACATGTATACCTATTTGCAAGCCACAAAACTTGCAGTACTTATTTGAAAGCCACAAAACTTGCGGTACACATTTGCAAGCCACAAAACTTGCTGTACCTATTTGCAAGCCACAAAACTTGCTGTATCTATTTGCAAGCCACAAAACTTGACTTAATTATTATACTAACTATTTTAAAATAAAATTACAAAGTTGTAAAAAAAAAATCAATATTGCAAATAACAAGAAATGCATATACATATTAAATGTAATAGTTTATTAAATTACTAGTTGCAGCAGATGACTAAGGAACTAAAGTTAAACATATTATAAAGTTTGCATAGTAAAAACTAATAGTTGTTTAACTTACCAGGTGTAGCACAAGAGGTAGATACTAAAATTACAAAGTTGTATCAAAAAATCAATATAGCAAATAACAAGAAATGTATATACATATTAAATGTAGTATTTTATTAAATTACTAGTTGCAAAAGATGACTAAGGAACTAAAGTTAAACATATTATAAAGTTTGCAAATTAAAAATTAAGAGTTATGTAACTTACCAGGTGTAGCACAAGAGGTAGATACTAAAATTACAAAGTTGTAACAAAAAATCAATATTGCAAATAACGAGAAATGCATACACATATTAAATTTATTATTTTTTTAAATTACTAGTTGCAGCAGCTGACTAAGGAACTAAAGTTAAACATATTGTAAAGTTTGCAAATTAAAAATTAAGAGTTATGTAACTTACCAGGTGTAGTACAAGAGGTAGATACTAAAATTAAAAAATTAATATTGCAGCAAATGGGAAATCCATACACGACAAGTAATAAATAAATAAGTAAGAAATGCATATTTATTTATATTTATTTAATGGTTAATTAAAGTTATGCTATAATAACTTACCAGCTGTAGTCTGTGCAAATTGGCCTAAAGATAACAAAAATGTTATATAATCAAAAAAAAAAAAAAAAAAACATCTTGAAATTGTCAACAGTCAATAAAAATAACAGTTATCAAATCAGTTCTGCTTTACGTACAACAACCTATGTAACTAAAAAAAAAGCAATAAAAAAAATAATAAAAAATATAAATTATATTACTGTATTTTAAAATTATATTACTGTATATTAGAAAAACACTAACAAGATACTTTAATAAGAATAAACATATTATTGTAAAAGTATTTTTATAATTTTACAAAAATAAGCTTATTAATAATAAGCTTATTCATATAAAAATATCAATAATAATAATAATATTTTAAAATATCAATAATAATATTATTCTTAAAATATCAATAAAATCATAATATTATTCTAAAAAAATAATAATGTTATTCTAAAATTATCATTAATAATATTATTCTAAAAATATTTTGTCAAAAACTGTATTGGCTTAAGCCAATAGAGTTTTACTTTAAAGTATAATAATGTCATTTGTATATTTTTATATATATGGTGTATTAACAACATTGGCATCTGATACTATTAGTTAATAAAATATTCCAAAGTAACGGTTTAATCTTAAATCCTAATCTTTTTTAATATATCATTGGTATAACTTATACCAAAGATTAAGGTTTTTAAACTTATACTATAAGTTTAAAAACCTTAATCTTTGTTTACATATCATGATGATATGTAAACAAAGATTAATGTTTTAAAACTTATAACTTTTTTAAAAAACAAAACAATAATGATAAGTTTAAAAACCTTAATCTTTGTTTACATCATGATGATGTAAACAAACTTTGTTATTATCATGAAAAACAAATTAACTTACTTTTTGAAGTCTTCTTTGTTATAACTTTTACCATTTTTTATTTATTAAAATAATCTAATATTAAAAATTATATAATACAATGTAGTAAGAATTTTTTTGTTTACCATTCGCCACCCCCCTATCCTCCCCGTATTTCTCTTACCGATAAAACAAAAACAAAAACAAAAAAAACCGAATTTAGGTACCAAAAGTCCTACACTTCTTATACTATCTGCTCCCTAATATTTTTGGCTGAAATTTGGCATGTACAAAGAAAATGCATGCAAAAAAATTTCCTGAATAACAAAAAAAGCGGAAACTTCATTCCTTCGATAAGAACTTAATGTGAGAACATCAACAAAATTTTCATGAAAGTTTTTAGCAAAACTAACCATAAAAAAGTTTAGTGTTTATAAATAAAAGTACTATAAAAATCAAGCCTAACCTTTCTTCTTTCCAAATATACTTTTTGTTTATATATGTTTCTAAAAAAAAACACCACTAAAAACGTTAGTCTAACCCTACTTCAAAAAAGCAGTATATTTAAAAAAGCACCTCGTTACATATCTGCTCCCTAATATTTTTCGTTGAAATTTGGCACATAAATAGAAAATACATGTATAAAGGTGGCTGAACAATCAAAAAAGCGGAAACTTCATGCCTTCGACTACAAATTTATGTGAAAACATCAACCAAATATTCAGGAGCAAAATAATCCTTTAAAAAATTTAGTAACCATACATAAAAGTTTAAAAAAAATAAAGATCAGCTTCTCTTCTTTCCAAAAAGTATCTATGTGTATATATGTTTCTAAAAAGAAACTCCACAAAACTACGTCTACCCCACGCTGCCAAAAAAAAAGTGAAAAAAACGAGTCACAAGATTTTATCACAAAAATCGGTTCCGTAAATGACGTATATGCGCGTACCTATATATATATATATATATATATATATATATATATATATATATATATATATATATATATATATATATATATATATATATATATATATATATAGTAGAAAATAAAACTACGTGATTTTCACAACTTTAAGTTTCATGCTGTTGCAATCATCAGGTGAAAAACAAATATAGTTTGTTCGTTTAAAAAATTATATACAATTGAAACTATACAGAAAAAACCTATACGGAAAAAACTTTTTTTTATTGTTACGACTGTGTGTATTTAATCTTCAGGTTTGTGGTCGCTCAATAGAAATTTATTTTCGTGACGACACTTGGAGATTAACTCTGTTATTTTATTGAGTAGCTCTTCATCATTTTTATATAGCAAAATAATCAGTTTTTCATATAAACATAGTAAACATTTTTTTGTTTCATTGTTGTAGGCGGGGGCTTTTTTCAGGATAGACCAAGTTAATTCTGGTGTTTCTTTCAGTTTTTTTCTAGTTTCCCATATATGTTTTGAGAGAGTGGTTGCATTTGAAAGTTTCTTATTTGAAAATGATATATATATATATATTATATATATATATATATATATATATATATATATATATATTTATTCATATATATAAGTATAAATGTATATATATATATATAATATATATATATATATATATATATATATATATATATATATATATATATTATATATATGTATATATACATTTATATTTATATATATATATATATATATATATATATATATATACATACAAAAATATATATATATATATATATATATTTATATATATATATATATATATATATTTATTCATATATATAAGTATAAATGTATATATATATATATATATATATATATATATATATATATTATATATATGTATATATACATTTATATTTATATATATATATATATATATATATATATATAAATATAAATATATATATATATACATATATATATATATGTATATATATATATATATATATATATATATATATATGTATATATATATATATATATTTATATATATATATATATATATATATATATATATATATATATGTATATATATATATATATATATATATATATATATATATATATATATATATATATATATATATGTATATATATATATATATATTTATATATATATATATATATATATATATATATATATATATATATATATATGTATATATATATATATATAT